GGGGGGGGTTACCTTTTTGGTTCTGCAAATCATTGCCTGTGCACCTCCCCTGCAAGATCCCTGGTTACGCCCCTGAGGTGGCCCAAAAAGATTTGTCATTGCACTCTTTCGTTGAATCAACCAACATGGCCGCCATATGTCTTTTGCAAACCACATATTATACATAGCCAATAGAGCATAAATGTATTTATGCCCTCTTGGCATAGCTTTCTTGACTAACCCCGGAAACTAATTAATAACATCTGGTTTTCCCGTCCGTAATTCTTTCAGATAATCATCTAACAGTCATTTCGATGTCATTCTAAAAGATTCCACTCACGTTTTATGACATAATTTTGTACATATGATTCAAAGAATTGAAGAGGCATGTTGCCGCCATGTTAGTTGTCGATAACAAAGCATTCCTGGCGGCTGTTTCGTTGTTATTTATATCTCAAGGGATTTTGAGTCATGTTGGTTGCACTTCAAGAATGACGTCTGCCATCTTACCAGAAGAAGCTACCAGGAGGCAAAATTATTTGTCCGACAAACATATTTTCTCGAGTTAGTGTTAAAATTAGCTAAGAAAAAAAGGGAATGCCATGTCTAAAATATGAAAGAGAATATCCCAAAATAAAAGAACCTTACATTGGCATATGCATAATGTATTAATTGATTTATTGGTAATTATTTTGGTAATTAATTAATTAATTTTAAAAACGTGTGCATTATTACGTGTGCATTATTACATGTGAATAATTGTCCAAGATGTTAAAAAAGGTCTCTATCATTGCACGCTCACCGTTCGTCTCGCTTCGATGCGAAGGCACGGCTACCTTTCAAGATGGCGCAAAGGACTATGAAAGGGACTATTAAAACATATTTTGGTGACGCGTCTAAGAAATAGAAAATGCTGGCGAAATAGAAAAGATGTGTAAAACGCTGCCTACAAGCTTATTTCTAGTTCACTATGTATTTTCTCAATTTCGCCCATTAGCAGAGTAGACTAAAAATACCCCAAAGTAACTCATCGTAGGGTCCATATTGTACCTTCCAGCAAGTTTCACTCTTAACGAGATTTTATCATTTGCTTTTAGGAAAAATATCCCTCCATTGTAGTTACTGTTGTACTTGGTATCATTATTGAACACGCTGCTAGAGCTCCCAAGGACCTTGCGGTCATTAATATATAAGCCATGGGAAAAGTGGTAAGTGGAACTGTCGAAGTAGTAGAGTTGACTATAGACAAAGTAATAGCCTGGTATCGAGATGATAACGTGACCTCTTCTTTTGCTGTATGTGATGCTGCCCTTGTGTGCCCTTGTGGACCATCTTTTAATGTTACGTTCGGCTATAAAAACGAAATTAAATTGCATTGATATTCATTTCTGAGAATCATTTGCTAAGCTGATGCATGGCAGCCATATTGGCGGTATTTTGAATACCACCGATATGCCCGCGATTGTGTAATGTACAAGCAAATAAAAGCATCACTATCTGATATAACAAAATATCGTAACTGGTTTTCATAGCCGCCATCTTGGTTGAATTTACTCTTCTCATTACTCTCTTTTGTATCATCAACCAACAAGGACCATACTCATGCGGCAGCCATGTTTATTCTCATGGCAATAAAAAATCTCAGCTTAACCCGCATAAATTTATTCTCAAGTACTTGAATGCGAGGCTAAGCGTGGGGAATCTATTGTTCCAGTGAACATGGCTGCCACATGTACAAGGTAGATGGCCGTCACGTGTTTTGGTATTTCTATTACTCTTGGGGTATAAAAAAAGGAATGAGTGTGAACCACCTATTCTCGATGTCCAAGCATAGATATTCCAACTTATTCACTTAATCAAATTTTAACTATTAAGTGACCTTGCGTGACCCGTTTCATAAGCGAACAATCACACAATCACCGTGACAGGGCATCACAAAGGCAGCACCACAAAACCTTCGGAAAATCTCGATGGCAACGACAATCTATAGGTATGAACTTTTATATGTCATCTATACGTCAATGCCTTTATAGTGGTCTAGCTAGTATGATGATTGAGTTTTACTCTTGTGACTTCTTTTAAGTATATCGATTCAGGATGTTTATTTATTTTTAGATAATTATGATATATACTGCTTTGTAAATGAAGGGGTCTAAAAGTCATTCTGTAGTTTAAATCATAGCAAATACGTATTTCTGATCAGGACTTGATTCTCGTGTGATTTTCATCATCTTGACTGACACAATCTTGTTCCTTTCTTCATTCCACTATTTCTTCTTCATACTTGTGAATCTTGATTGCCATTCTCAGGCGCCAACCCACCCCACCCCCTAGAGAGTTGTACTATAGGTGAATGGTGGTTCTATGAACCATCATACAAGGGACGTACAAGAAAGGCGCCAAAGAAGCTCGCTTTTGAGTTCATACAGTACATGGTATTCTCAGAAACGGCTTTCACTTTTAGATTGTCTCCACTCACGAGGCGCAGCAACGAGCCCTGAAATTTCGCATTGAAGTGCAGTCGATTTTCCTGCTCCATACTCCACACATTCTTCATTTTAGGTTCGTTGTTTACAACGATTACGTAGCCAGCAATCGACTGGTTTTTACCACAGTACAATATCTGCGAGTACACAAAGTAATAGCCACTGGTATTGATGACAATCGAACCTGTCTCCCTGTGGTAACGGATACTGCCTTGTGACTGCCCCTGCCCTGGTTCACTCCATTGTGTGATACTCTGAGAAATATCTAGATAGACGTATAAGAAATTAAGTTACATTTTGGTAACCATCATTTCTGATTACTTGTGGTTAATTGAGTCGAATTCAGTGACAAAAGTCTAAGAAAAATCATCTAAAATCTATTTAAGCTTTGGATGTTGTATCACAGCGTGGGGCAATCTCAACAGAACTAGGCACGAAACTATAGGTGTAAGCCCAACAACGAATTAAAATTAAGATGTTGATTTTTGCGGAGGGAGGAAAACCGGAGAACCTGGAGAAAAACCCTCGAAGCACAGGAGAGAACCAACATTGAAACAATCATACTCACATGCGACCCGGAGCCATGAATTCGGAGCCAGGTCGCAACCATGCTTCCCTATGAAAGACTAGTATAGAGAGCGCACTATGGACCGTTTTACGGTTGAAACAGTACATTTAGTATAGATGTGATTCAACTGAAGAATCTTATGATTTCTAAGAGGTTTTAAAACAAGTACGTATACGCCCAAAGTAAAAGGACATTTATTAACAGCATAAATTCTGTTTCGAATTTGGATTAATGTTGCGATTGCGTATGTTCGAATTTCAAAATAATCGCCAACTTTCGATATTTTGAGGGTGCATGTTACGTCGTAGCCGCCATGCTGGTTGACCATACAAAGCATTCATAATTAGCTTCTCTTGTTAGATCAACCAAGATGACGGCTGTTTCATTGTTACTTATATCTCAAGGCATTTATTCGATCACCTGGTTGCACTCCAATAATTGTGATTGAGTATTCAAGCTACAAACATTTGGAGTGGAGGCTGTAATCGTTATTATTCTATTGTTTCGCCGATGCCTCGACTCGAATTGTTTCGTACTTGATCACTCGGCAACCCAATATCGAAAGTTGTTTTTTCGCGTGCGCGGACAAATAAAGAGGGCTTCAATTGGAGTGATCTATCTCGTTTCTGAGTGGACTTTATGCATCCACGAGATTATTAGGACAGAGCGTCACGTCACAAGGCAGCACCATGTAGTACCACGAGAAGCAGTGCACTGTTACCCTGGCAGATCGATGAAGATTTCAGTTATCCACACACATTTCCAACCTTATAGATTTTATTTCCAAGTCGATGTCTCTTGAATATACAAATGAACATGCCCTCTGCCGCAGCAGAGCTACAACCAGTACGGCAGACACTCAATTTCAATTCTAACTATAGAGCCGTAAATCTGAACAGTCGCTTTGGTAGTTTACGCCAAAATTAAATTACCGCGTGTTTGAAGTATTACTGGAAGTTTTTTTTCCCAGCGAAACTAGAAGCAGGGTTTAAAAAACGAGCAGGAGTGTTGGATCAGTTGATTTTTTTAAGTCTGATAAAACACGATCTGCGAGTTTATTGAACACCTTATTGAAAAACTCACAAATTATTTATCAACCTTTGCTCGAATTTGAGCAACCATACACGTCACAAACATAGATCTTTAATGAAATCGATAGAAGTTTGTACGTTACTGTCATGCGCAGTCAGTTCGAAAGGACTCCCACAAGTTGAAGACAGAGTTCCAAACTCAAGAGAGTAGACTGTTAACTGTCCTACTTGCCCCTCTAAACAGAGTCAAGTCGGATTGAAGATTTCTTGGATTTCCGAAAAATTGGGGCGAGTATGAAGTGGCGTGCGTCAAAGACAGAGAAAAAATCCGAATCCACTTAGGTTTTGGGAAAAAGTGCATGTTCGCTCCAATAGAACTAATTCGTAGTGTTGCAAATGTTTTCCATTACAGACCACATGTCATTCTCTTGAGAATAACATTCTTGGTTTGAGTTTTTATCCGATAAGATACTCCTGCTCGTTTATAAAATATTACTTCATGGTTCTTCTCATGCGCAACCGATAAACTGTTAAATAAAGAAATGATACTCTTGGGAATAACGCGTGGTCTGTGATGAGAAAACATTACACCAAGACAAAGTACGTCTATTGGACCAAAGGCTTATAAATTATGCTTGAGTTTTTCAATAATGATAAATATCTAATCTGTTTTTATATACAATCTTCCAACCTTTCTAACTATATTATCACATATATCTACCAGTCTTCTTTACAACTTTACAAAGGGTTGATGATATCCGATACTGTTATTTCTATATAGTGATGCATTCGCAATACATGATTCACTGAATAAACTAATAAAAGGACTCTTAACAGCATACACTAAATTTGTATTATAGAGTGAAATCACTAAACCCGCGAAATAGATATTAGACTTAATACACATTGATAGGCCCTAATTCCATTGTTTTCTTTTGTGTCTATCACGTTGACTGATATTTTTTATTTTACGGGTTAAATGCCCTCACTCCTTTATGGTCTTACGGATACAGAAGAAAAGCCCCAAAATAGCTAAACTGTGGATGCATAAAATACGTGGTGCTCTTGCTAATAACTTTTATCCCTATACGGTCGTTTCTATTGAGGCGGAATAGTGCAGCCTGGTATTTAGTAGTGCATTTTGTTCGATTATCTGCTGCGGTGGTCCAAATACTTTTCAGCTTAACAGTGTTGTTGATGATGAGAAAGTGGCCCGTTTTGTCTTTGTCACAATAGAACATCTGGGAATATATAAAATAGTAGCCACTCCTATGGACTACTATCGTCCCGGTCTGTCTGATGTATCGGATGCTGCCTTGTGACTGCCCTTCATTCCACTGTGTGATACTTAGAGACAGGTCTAAACAAACGCAACATAGTTCGTCTTACTCTCTCAGTGATCAACCCAAGATTAGAGCCCCATCAGGGATGCTATCAAATTCATGTTTATTATAAGATGAGATTGCCATTGGTAAAAACTCTTAAAGACGACCAACAGATCTAAAGAGTCCCTTCAGAGTCACTTTATTAGACACTTTAGCGATAGTCGGCGGCAATCTTGAATTCAATTGTTTTAATCAAGTTGAGGGGGCAACTATAGGAAAATCAGTATAGACTGCACAGCTATTAGGATGTCTTTTTGTATAAATTTACGCTTTTCAATGAGAAACACATATAAAAAGAAATTGAATTTACAGGTAGTTGGAACGATGTGCGATGTACCAAGACTTAAAATTCTTTGAAAACGTAACCCCGCCACTCAATGCATGCTTTATATATTTTCTACGTTTGCCCCCTTGGCATCCCATGATTCGAGATGGCCGTCGATAAAAGGGTCTGTTTATGTCAAATGGGGTAAGTCAGCGTAAGTCCCAGTATGCTTTCAGGCTTTCTATTACTAAGTAGTGCCAATATGTCGATAAACTTTTTGAAATAAAGATTTCGACGTTTTCGAAATAGTTTTAGTAGATAGTTATCATTTTCAGGAATACATATGTATTTTGAAAGGATGACCAAAAAGAAAAGAAAACTAGAAAATATGATTTGTGCACATGAAGCGAGCTTTCATCTCCTCGTAAAAAAAACACTGAACAATGCAACAGATCAACAACTGTACTGTTTGGGGCCTTATCTAAAATAAACGTCGTAAGATTTCACTTGCAACAAACGCTTAACCTTAAAAGTCTCTTGAACGTCTGCGCTGTGCCAATCAAATGCCCACCCAGCACGAGTCAGGGATGAGAGAACCTTTGTAAGATAGCGTATATATACTATGATTTACTGAATCAAAACGAACCTGGATAGTCAATCACTGAACATATAGTGGGACTTACTCGTCACCAGGGCAGCATCCAATATCGACGACCAGAAGGCGTGACTCGTTGACGTGGGGTGTAAAACTCGCTAAAATTATTATATTAATGAATGATAAGACGGCTCTAAATTCAGTGATGGTAAGATTCTTTTATTTGTTAGCTTAAACTTGCTTTATTTTGTCGGTTAATAGATAAATTGGACAAAGTTATTAGGATTTTGCTCGTTATAAAGCCACCTTCGCTGCTTGGCGGTCTGCGATTGCGAGATCCAATATGAGATGCAACCGCTGACTCGCATCGCACGCTACTATGCTGTTCGAAGCCCCTGTACGATTTACAACCGATGTTTTTTCCTTTGTCGACGCACTTCTTATTTCCATGATGAATTAAAAACAGAACTAGTTCAGTCTTTTCGAGCAAATTATTAAATACCCAGTTGCAGATTCTACTTAATTAGCGTGGTAACTGCTTGCCACCAGTTTAATTATATATGATATCAATGTAGACGCGTTGAACTGCATATAAATTACAATTACAGCTTTAAATAGTCTCTCTCATCTTTTATCTAGCTATATAGCTATGTTGTCTTATTGCTAGGTCACTTCTTGCTTTCTATTTTAGGTATATAAATGCAAATGTTTAATCGACTAGCCCGCCTTCAAAAAGGGAGCATGCATTTTGTTAGAGAAATTCGAAAGATTGGAAATAGTAATTAAAGTTAGGTCAAACTTCGAGGGTTACAGAACTGAGGTTAAGACTTTTATAGTTCACCTTAATTTGCTCTATTCTTGTAAGCCTCGCAGTAAAGGTTTCATATTTTATATTTAAACGTCTCAAACCGTGAGGGAGCATCTTAAGCATTCCGCAATGGATCATGATTTCTATCGCTTTTTTTCCTACGATAAATGAAATCTTAATGAACTAATTTATGTCAATGGCTTTTTAGTGGCCTCGTGCGATCACGAGGGTATTAATAGGGTGTATTAATACAATAAATCAATCGGTGACCAAAGCCTATATTTACATCGTCTTCAATCTCAAGGAGTCATTCCCTTTGTCAGAAGTGTTATCTTACAGTCAGCGGTGATAAATATCCTGCGCATGCGTAATGCCCCCTCCCCTACGCTCCAATCCTATATGCACCAAGGAAGCTATATGTAGGTCCCATATAGTAATCTTTGTGTGAAGACGGTACCCGCACCTGTATTCGGTCATTTACTTGAAGTCTGAACACTCCACCATGATATTTGGTGGAAAATTTTCGGTAACTATCATTGATGACACTGCCGACACTCTCCATGACCCTGTCGTTGTTGATGTACGTATAGTGCCCCATTATAGGAGTGGTACGGTCAAAGTAATACATCTGGGAATAGATGACGTACATTCCTGGCTTTGCGACCACTATTGCACCCACTACTTCACGGTATTGAATGCTGCCCTGCTGATGTTCGACTTTCCATCCCATTACGCTTTGCGATTTATCTAGTAAAGCATGCAAAAACCGGGTTTTACTTCATCTGACACGTACAATGCATCAGAGGAAAATTGTCTTAAAATTTAGATTTATTTTTGGTACATTCAGGTCAATATTCAGAAGGTATGAAAAAAATTATTACGACATAGACCTTTTTAGAAGATGGAAAATTCTTCCACTACCTCGTAAACTGAGTTTCAAACTAAGGCGACAGGACAGCAAAAAGGTTGGAACGTTTTATTCAATATTTTTTGATTTTGTCAAGTTATAATTTAGTGATTTTGTGCTGTCACGTTAACTTACAGATAATGGGGGGTGAGGTTTTCTAGTCATCTAAAGTAATATAATAATAATAATAATGGGAGGTTCTTGTATAGCGCATTTCTACAATGTCTCTCAACCAGTGGAGGACTTTACGGGCTGCAAGAAACGCCTACTCGATTAGTTTAACTCGCAGCACATCGAGACAATATGCAAATAAGCTGTAGGCAAGTCATATAGATATCTTCTGCACCGGTTGGCTAATTATCATTTACATCAATCGTTCGGTGTATTAATGGTAATGAGTTTTCAGAAAATTCGAGCAAAATAATTTGTATTTCTTGAATTAAAACTTAATGTTTTTGAATATCGGGTAGCACACCACAAAAAGGCGGGAGAGTTTCTTCGATTAGCACGCGCGTGTACGTTTTAAAAAAGAGCGGGAAAATGGATTACCTTTTTTCCGATTTTCCGCGTTAAGAGAGTGAGAAACCCTTATAATACAGGCTTTCAATCAAGTGATTGCATCCATGGTGGGAGCAACTAAATCTGGTTCAATCTAATTACAATGTGAAAGAATTCAGTTTCCCAGGGTAAAAAGACTCTATTGTTGTGCCTCCTGTCATGGCTGCCATCAAATTATTGCAAAGCCTCTACTTGATAGAATCTTAGATATTAGTGACAACATACCTGGTTGGATAACCTTTCCTCCATTCCCAACGAGATGGATACTTTCTGATACCTATATCACGGAAAACAAGGAACAATTTATTTCGTTTACTGCCGGTTCGTGGTAATCTAATAAATTCTCTTTCATAATCGATTGATTGACTTTTGCACATTTTTCGCTAAAAGGAAAACATGAGTTATCGTTTTCAAAAATGATCGTTACTGTACGTTCATTATTGTAAGATAACTTACCAATGGTCCTGGAGGACCCCTTATACCTGTAAAAAATAGTGCTGTATATTAGAATGTCTTTTTTTTTTGGCTCATGCATCTTAAGCCCCGTTTACACTGGCGATTTTTGCGGCGATTTTTGCTGCGATTTTTGTGGCAATTTTCGGAAATATGAAATCTTTTGTCTCATCCTTCGAAAGAGACATTCGTCTAGGAAAATCTTTGCTATCTGAAAAAAACTTTACGAGTAAATTCTTTACTATTATTTATTATGGACAAAATCGCAAAGAAATCGCAGCAAAAATCGCAAAGAAATCGCTCGTGCAAAGGGGGCTTAAGTTATTCATTAATCCACGGCCGATTAACACGTGCGATTTTTCCTCACAGCCGCATGACGCATGTCTAGATCTCGCGCAACATGTTGACGACACAACGTGCTTCATGTGAATCGACGCACAATTTGCTTTATGGCAATTAAAACTTCCATTTTGCTCAAGCATGTTGCGCGTGCGATAGTTGTTATTTTTAAGCGAAAAAATAATACACAAGATGACAGTCGAGGCATTTCCTGCCTAATTTCAAAATGCCTCGCCAATGTGAAAAGCTTCCAAACTTAATAAGTTGTTAAACTTTCTAATAGAGGTAGCCATGACAGGAGCAGGAATAACTGAATACGGTCTGACCTGTCTTATATGAAAAAAAAAAAAAGTTTCCCTGAAGAAAAAGACTTTATTGCTCTACCTTCTGTCACATGGCTGCCATCACGGTGCAAAGCTATACAAGACTAACCGGTTTCTCCTTTGTCTCCTTTAGGTCCAACAGTTCCGTTAATCCCAGGAAGGCCCGCTGGTCCTTGCTCTCCTTTTGGACCTTGTGCTCCAGTGCTTCCATTGACTCCATCCCTACCGGGCTTTCCTCGACGTCCTGGAGGACCCGGTGATCCTGGAGGGTTGAATGTTTCACAACTAAAGTAAGTTTTGAATGCCAGTGAGAGTTAAATAAATAGTAAAGGGATAAAAAATGAACCGAAATATTGCAAACGCCATTGTTTTTGATTTTCGGCTTTTATATAAAAAACTGGTCCGCTGTCACTAGACACATGACAGCGTAGACAATTAGAATGCAAGATTATAATACAGCTAATCTTACCGTTTTGTCCCTTTTTACCGGGGTCTCCCGGAGGTCCTGGTGGACCAGGAGGACCTGAAAAACGCACAAAAAAGTAATAGGACGTTTGCATGATAGCGTCATTTGACTCCCACTACCAAGATACTTCGCGAATTTTCTTTCTCATTTAAATTTGTATTCCCTCATGAGAATAGTAAGACAATTGGTACTAATTAACTGAACAAAAGAAAGTGTGCAAGGGAGTCTGGTAGTAGAGGTCAATGACGCCATCGTGCAAACGTCCTATTTAAAAACGTCTTAAATATCGTTCATAACTATTCCTTGGTTGATTATTTTGTCATTCATGCCATTCAAAAACGCGCAGACAAATTTTAGGAAAATTCCATATCGTTTTCACCTTTCGTTGATGGTATTCTCATCGCCCACAGTCCAATTCAAGCTTGGCATGCAACATGCAACAAAACCTTCACTAGCCGTTTTTGAAATAGCTGTTACATTCTATATTGTGAATAAATCGACTTAGGAATTTGAAAAAGAACAGCAACTGTCAATCACATTTCTGTTGTTTCAGCTTTGTGTCCCATGTCACTTTTTCATGCGGTAATTGTAGCATTAGTAATGAAGTTTTAATGACTTCTTCATTCCTGTGTTGAAGAACTGCCTTCCTGCCCAGCCTCCTTCGTATGCTTCTCCCGTCTTAATACTTCAATCATGAAAGTGTCTAAAGTTTCTTTTAAAATAGTGGATTACTATTGTAATGGTAATCTATGCAAACACGTTTGTTTTCATCTTTTATTGATTCTTAGGAATCAATGGCTTCAGCCATGACTGCATGTCTCTACTTCCTTGTTTTCAACGATCATCCTAAGCGATTATATGCTAAGATAACTGAGATGTTGTTAACACATCATATTATAATTAATATTAATTGATGCTAGAAAGGTCTTTATTTCATTGCCTTGTTCTTTAGCAAGGATTTCAAAGATAATCGTTTAAAAAAATCATAAAAGCCTGAGATTATTTATTTATTTGTTCTTTATAATACGTAAAGGTTTGATCTCTCTCTGTGACTGTGGTATTAGTGTTCATTGAATAAAATGTTCCATATTCGTTGCGTTACAAGACACTAGTGGCCCCTGACCGTGAAAGATAGATCTTTGCTTGACATATATTCACTTGGGATTATTGAAATCATTGTCAGAGCTATCATAACTATATAATAGAAAAGTAACATACAAAAAACCTTGTTGGTACAACTTATGAACTTAGTAACTTACTTTGTTAAAAAGTTTGAAGACTTTTCAAAGAATCGTAAACAATTCGAATTGTTCCATTTTGTGTTTATATAATAAATCACTCCTTTTTGGCTTCAAGTTACATTATTTCGACTTTCGAGGCTAATGAAGGTTAGTCAGACACTTTTACCTTAAGTTTAAAGCAAAGTAAAAACGAACAAGGTTTGAGAATCATTTTAAAAACTCAGTTGATTGTTTAGTTATCGCGCCTTGTGCCTTGCGCGTGGAAGAATAAAGTAGGGTTTCAAAATAACTCCTTTCTTCGGTATGTCGTTGGTTGCCCGAAATTCCGAGAAAAATTGTTTCACCTAACATATTTTTGAAAGATTATTAGAAAGTTAAGAATATCTGTGAACATTTATGTGCAAAAAAAAATTTCTTGGCTTCGTGACCAGTACAGTATTTTCATTACATCCGGGTTTCTAAGGACGTTTGCGGAAGTAGACTGTACTAGGGTGAAGGCAAAGGTTTGTCAAGGTCAAACCGATTGTATTTTATTGTACGTTGTAAACAACTATAAAATATTACTCTTATTGACTTGCAAAGACCTAATTCTACTCATTATTCGCCTGTCGTATTGCTAAAGAGAAAACTTAATGAATTTTCTAGTTTTGTACAATGAAAACAAATTGAGTTATTTGGCAATAGAAGACGTATGGAGAGTTTATTTGAGATACGTGTGATCATAATAAAATATATATAAATCATTAAGAAAATCGTTCTTTTATACCTTGAATACAAGGGCAGAATGAGCTGAATTGTCTTCTACTTCTTCTGTCTGATTCTGGTGCCGCCTTGTTCTACAGAAACAATAAAAGCCTTTATTTTGAATTCGGTATTCAATACAAACTACTTGTTGATGTATGCAAATTGACGATTTTTTTCTGCAAGATCAGTTCGATGACATTGTTTTGATCATCATTGACTTATTAAGCACGATTTGAAATTTTCCTACGACAAATAAAGGGCAATTACCCCTCTTGCAAACTAATCCTGACAGTCAATCTACTCATTTTTGATTTTCCTGTCGAATTTGACGTAATACGATTATGAATGTCAGTAGTCGATACGAAAATACTGAGCACGAGTTCAGTCCTACGAATTTGAAGACAAACCTTATTGAAGAGCTCCAATTTGTCAGATTTAACTGACTTATCTTTCTCCTTGCCCTGGTCGCTCCCAGGAGAGTTACTAGCTGCAAGTCGTCTTTCTAGAGTTTGAATGCGTTGATAGAGCTGTTCAGTAAGCTTCTCAAGCTTATCAATCCTTCTAGATTGTGCTACTGTCTGCCTAGACTGTAGTGCCATGAATACTGTGGTACACACGACAAACAACAGCAAAACAGTCACAGTAAAGCACAGAGCCAAGTCTGAGCCTCTATTGGAGTTAGTAGTTATCATAGTTCTCTCAGGCATGCTTTTGGTTAGGCTTGTGACTGGCATCTAGATCAGGCATACTCGTGCACTCCGGCTACTTCAGGATAAATTTCGTAGAAGGCTCCCTACGTCCTTTGCATTTTACCATTGTTATGAGGTTATTTCACGCCTTGGTGACCTTTTCGCGCTTTCTTGGAAACGAAGAGGTGAACTGCGCGTGTGCGGACTTCAAGCCATCACGCCATGCAATAAATACGGGAAAGGTTATTGGAATTACGACCGATGTGCTATAAAGGCAAACTTTCTTGAGGTTATTACTGTGTTTGTTAAATTGGTCGTAACTGCTTCGTTATATTACTGATTTGCTCAGCACAGACCGGCTCTGGCGTACACCGTCCTCTTATTCATGAATGAAATTACATAGTTCATTTTATAAGCAACTGTTTAGCAGGGATCAACGACTTGAAGTATCTTTTTCACAATGTTATTTAAGCTGTCTGACACGAGCGAGTCCTGTGTTAAAAGATAGTTGCCATATCCCAGATAGGAGCAGCATTGGCTGCATATTGCTGCATATTGCTGCATATTGCGGTTAATTGGCAGTGCTATCTTCAATTTGAATATCATATTTGTGTCGGTTACTAAATGAAAATGCCCCCAATTTTCAGGGACATGATGCTCGCAGTTTAATTTTAGCATATTTAAAATCTTTAGAACATCATGGACAAACTGAGACTCTGGAAACTCGTATTAAATGGTAATGCACTGATACGGCTCTACTCTTTAGTACATGAACAGGCTAATCTGCCATTAGTAACCATTTTCACTACACTCCCTCTGACAAGGAAAAGGCTCAACATTATAAACCGTTCAACCAATCACTTTTCTTCATACGAAGAAAAGTTCAGGAGAGATAGGAAGGCTTCTGATTGGATATTTAATCGGCACGGACTGGAATTCCCACTTGATCATAGCTAGTTCCATTCCCATGCAGCCGAGCATACAGACATAGAATGCGCATTTCATTATAATCAACAAAGAAATTTATTATTTTGCAATGAGATAATAATCATAGTTAATAGCTTTGTATTTACATTAGCCTAAGTACGTCATAATAAGACGACCTACAATTTTTCCCGCTTATATTCAGGATATTCTGAATGTATATATATATATATTTACAGCAATGCATCTTTATAAATCTTACAAGCTCTCGCACTATAACTAGGCGATAAATTTACATGAAATTATATTCTACGACCCCCTTCCTCTCCCCTTCCGTATAATCTGTGAGTAATTAACAATTATGTACAGCAAATGCTTACATGACCATGCAGCAAGACCCACCCAAACCCAACCTTTGTTTAAAACGTCGTTTCAAATCTTTAAAATAGGAAAAGAATTGGTATCATATGCAGAGAAAAAGATTGAGAGATTTGATCCCTCACGATTTGTATCTACTGATAAGGACCTCCGTGTTGCATTGGATTTTTGGACTGAATTTAGGGGACGCGAGATCGATGGCAGAGTCTTCTGATCTCGTTACCAAATTCAAAAAAGCTAAGAGTAATGATAGATACCACCTTGCCCTCTACATTATTTTTTGCATTATGCACCATCCAAGACTATACCCTCCCCGCTAATATCAAAAATCATACCTTGCATACCATCAAATACAGTAAAAACCTGCGTATAAGAACCTAGATTTAAAGAATCTGTTAGGCTAAGATTTTACATTAAGACTCCTTTACATAAGAACCTGTTTTAGGCTAAAATTTCAAAGCAGGTGCTTATTTTATCGAATAGTGTCAAAACTAAAATTATAAATCAAAGAAAAACAGCTCTACAAAGATTTTACACACAGTAAGCTGTAAATTACATACAGTGTAGCTTTAAAGTGCATATAGGGTGCGTATTTGTTTAGATTGCAGTCATTTGGAGAAGCTTTATGTATAATGTATATCAATAATAGACCACATCTACCAAAAACGAGTCGCTTTTTATAAAAGAAAATAAGAACTTGAATAGCCTTATTTCGCGGTGAACACCATTTAAATAAAAGCCTTTTTAGGCTAACTTGGAAAATTCTAGGTTCTTATACCCGGGGCTTTACCGTATAGTATACCCTGCCCTTACGCTACACCTTAACCTATGCAGCATGTACCATGAATAACCCAAAGAAACTATATTCTGGTTTCATGAGATACACCTTGCTAATAAATACCGATATCGATATCTTGTCGCCTCTATTGAGTAAATGAAGCCCACCATGGTAGTTAGTGTTGTACTTCCTAAGAGCACTAACAACACTGGACGCACTACCCATCACCCTAGCACCGTTGATTAGTGTGTAGTGGTTGAGCAGAAGTGTAGTGCCATCATAGTAATACATCTGACTGTACAGATAGTAGTAACCAGTGCGACCGATCGTTATTTCTCCTGTGTGCTCGTTGTATTGCAGAGACCCTTTATTGTGTTTCATTTTCCAGTACTTTACAACACCTGGAAATCAATTGAAATGGGTAATCAAAAATGGATCGTGTACCCTGGCTGTCTGAGATACATCCCTTCAGATCCCCTGGGGAGAGGGGGCGTGTAATACTTTCAGCTAATGGAAAGGGTTTTTATGCCCATATCACATGATTTGTTCATGGCAATTCAACAAAACATTGGTTCGTGCAACGTTTGAACCGCTTGCTTGGGGATTATGTTAAGATAACTCCGAAGCACCGGCAAGGACAATAGATGATGACAACCTTTTATGATGGACACGCAAGTCTTTCTATTCTGTTTTAATCAAGTCGTACTAATATGGTTGGAACATGACAACGTAAAATTAGTTTTTAAGTACCTGCATGTCTTTTTCGGTGTCCGTCTCCAACCAAATGAGCAATTTCGGCCATCTGCAAGAGTAAATATTCAAAAGTAAATTAAGAAAATAAGAAAATAGAAAAGAATAGAATAGATGAAATGATAGCAAAAATCACTTACCACGGTATTGTTTTCTATGGACAGAAGTGAGAGAAAACGAAAGTTAGTCGATCGAAATAGGTAAACTCATGAAATTGCAACTGCAGAAAAATTCGGTAGTTTGGTAAAAAAAAAAAATTCTCTCTTTACGTACCTCTAGGAGCGGGGTCGCCTTTGGGTCCTTGTGGCCCCTGGAGTCCCTGTGGTCCTGGAGGGCCATCTTTTCCTTGAGCCCCTTGAGGGCCTGGCTGGCCTCTTAGTCCACTCGGACCCGGAGGACCTTGTTCTCCTTTAGGACCTTGTGGACCAGGATCACCTACAACGAACAACAGAATATCAATCAACATTAGATTCAAGAATTCTTAGGTGTGTGTGAGATTTGTTTAATACCTTTGTCTCCTTTTCTTCCTTTCTTCCCTCTCCTTCCTGTCGAGAAAAAAAAACATTTTGTAAGAAAATTATACGTTATAGCCCTTTCATACATTGTGCAGCGCACTGAAGACTTGCATTGAAGTTGGCTGCATTCAAACCTTCCTAATCGGACGAATTATCTTCATCCCTGCCACTCCTACACAATCCATCTGGGTATCAAAGCTCTTTACGCAGGAATGAAGCGTGGGCATGGAATTGGTCATTTGCCTCTATGATCATTGGCATCGCACACTAAGCTAGATATTAGGCAACAATTCAACTTTGAAACAATCTTCATTGTTGGGTTTTTGAAATTGTTGTCTCGGCTTCTTGTAATCCCTAGAACAATAGCTTCCTAATTAGATTATCAAGTCTCTCGGCAAAGAAAGAATTTTTGGCACAGAGGAATCATTAATTTATTTGGGCACTTTCCAAAAATAAGAAAATCCTATTGTCCAAATATCGAAAAGCATTTAAAGAATTTATATTAAAAGTATCATTTTGAGCTGATGAATGGATCAAGCTGCTTTGATACATTTCTATCGTTATTGAAACGTGTTTAAAAGCTTATGAATGTTCTCGTAACGAAGTACTGTTATGATAGTAATGCAATTTAACCGTCATACACCAATATTAGACATAATTACTTAAGTAAATTGAAGTGTAAGCGGATATAAAGACAATAGTAAACTGAAATCAGACGAGGTGTTGGCGATAATATGTACATTTTTTGGCAATTGTTTTAGCTTGGTTCTCAATACTTTTTTTTTTTTGTTATTCGTTGGCTAGAATATGAAACAAAAGAATGCAATTTCTCATAAAACTTGATCTAGCTGGAAACATCTCGTGTCTTTGCGTCCCACCCTATCGCTAGCTCATAGCTAAACTAACCGGCATCGATAAAAAATTATAGATAATGAGACGGTCACTCACGGCCCGGACACAGCGTATGCTACTTTGACATGCAAAGTTGATGGCCAAAGATGTGTTCTGATCAACTTTTCTTGCAACAAAATTAATAAATTGCAAAACGAGATACATCGCAGAATTGTTGTCAGCGGTGCACAAAAAATTGTTGCGAAAATATTGTCATTTCTACTTTTGCAAAGCTACCAGTAACGTTTTGAGCAACTGCTGCATTCTAATTCAACAGTGTATGAAATTTTGTCATTCCGTGCAACATTAAACGCAGCAGTTGCACCATATGTTTTCGCCTTCGTTAACAGACATTTTTCTTTCCTATAGTCAAGGTATTTTGGGAATGATCTTCTCGAGATTTCTATCAGTACTTGAATTAAAATGACAGTCCGGTAAATTTTCGCAAGAAAATCCTCTCAATCTTGACATTTGCCCTAAATCTATGATATGTAAGATATGATTGCTCCAGCTGAAGAAGCGTAAAAATGAATTCCATACGAATGTTTCGGCCTCTAAACTGAATTTCTGCTTATTTGTATTGTGTAAAAACCGTACTGAAAAGAGATTTTTAATGCGAGTCCAACTATTCTTGCAGTGCATGTTATGTCATAGCCACCATGTTGGTTTACAATAACGAAGCATTTCTCCTTAGCCTCTCTCTACTAGATCCACCAACATGGCGGCTCTTTCATCTTTATTTATACGCAGTGTCTAAATGCCCAGCAGCCGGTCGCGGTCTAAAGTTGACTAAATGCCCGGCAGTCCAAACTTTCACCAAAAAAACGAGAACTGGCTACAGCTAATGGAATCAAACTAGTCTAACTTTATTATGGTTTATCAAGCGCTTCCTTTAGTCTGGACTGATTCGAAAAAAGATTGTCTGTATTCGCTCTGCATAGAGTACGGAGCACTTGGTTCATGTCACTTAGAATATTTTTGCCAACACTGCCGATCGCAATTTTCGCAAAAAATACGATAAATTACCTTCGTTAATGAAGCCAAACTAGTCTAAATTTATCGAGGAATATTATGTGCTTCTTGTACTCTACACTGCTTCTAATAAGGATTGTTTGTCTTTACTCGGCATAGAATACCGAGCACTTGGTTCATGTCACGCTAGTTGTGGTAAGAAGAGCGAAATGGTGCTAAAGGCACATGCAATAACACAATGCAATTTTATTTAACCATTGCTACATAGTATTATTTTAATAATTAATCATTTTATCGGAAAGTTTGAACTGCCGGGCATATAGTGTATTTGAGACCGCGACCGGCAGTGTTGGCGAAAATAAGTGACATGAACCAAGTGCTCCGTATTCTATGCCGAGCGAATACAAACAATTTTTTTTCTAATCAGTCCAGACTACAGGAAGCGCTTAATATACCATAATAAAGTTACACTAGTTTGATTCCATTAGCTGTAGCCAGTTCTCGTTTTTTTGGTGAAAGTTTGGACTGCCGGGCATTTAGTCAATTTTAGAGCGCGACCGGCTGCCGGGCATTTAGACACTGCGTTATTTATATCTCAAGGGATTTTGAGTCATGCTGTGGTTGCACCCTAACTATCTACATCTTAGGTTGAATCAAGTTGCCGAGTGCCGGGAGGGGAGTGGAGGTTGAAGAGGGATGATACCGCACTTAACATTACCTTTGCATCCGTTACAAGACCTTGATTGATCTCGCCTGTTTCTTCCTTCCAGATTCTCGCCAGTAGACATGGCCACCTTGAATGTACAAAAAACACTTCAGAAACTTTTCTGACAAGTTTGACATCATTGGTTTTCTCTAGCGAAATGTAGTATCTGGACAAAAAGAGCCAGGCGAACCCCCCCTGACTCCCATGCTTTAACCCCAACAGATAAGATTTATAAAAGGAAGTGACTTAAAAGTCACGCAACATGAATGTCTCCTGCTGCTAGATTCTTCAATGGTATATTGTTTCACGATGTTTAGGTTACAAATCATTCCACAGATTAGCACAGCCAAAATAAACTCCACTGATCGTGCCCGCTATTTTAGAAACAGCAGTATATTATCGGTTGGATGTGAATTGCTCTAGCGAGTTTTTAGCACAAAGTGCGACCCTAGAGATGCAAAAACAAAGTCCTCACATACCGTGAACATATAGACCGCTGTTAGGCCATAATTCAAGGTTATGCAACCATGCTTAAATCATTCCCTTGAGGAGAGGGATGAGTCAAGCACAGTCGCAAGTACAGACATTTTATCATCAACGGCTCGCACGAAAACGCTTCTTTCAAATATATTTATCTCAAAGCTTCGGTCATTTATAGGCAGGCCACTAAAAGACCCTGAAGGTCCTTAAAATCCTCAATGTTTTCATCCCTACCTCACCACCACCCTTCCCAAATATCGATCTATATTAGTAACTCGTTGTTCCCGATTTCTATGACTTAGCGGGGTTCGTCCGGAATAGCTTCTTCCTTCTACAGAAGCCAATGGTGAGTCATTTGAACTCTCGAAATGATTTTCTCGGAAGTGAATTTATGATTTAGAAACAGGAAATGAATAATGTCTTTTATATACGATACAGTCTAGAAATATTCAATCATTTTTTTGAGTTTAAAAAAAAGTTATTATTTAAAAATAAAGCTTATATCGCCATAGATATAAAGGTCTAAAGCATATCTATCTAGATAAACTAAAACATTATCCATGAAAATGTAATTCCCAATTAGCAATAAGGCAATCGGTCGTATGACACTTCCAAGACGGAAAAAAGGTACTTTGAAATAATTATGATGACTACTGTTCATATTCGTATTCTGACAAACTGTAATTCTATTTTTACATCATTGGTTTCAATCGAGTAATTAGACAACGGATAGCCCATTGATCGAAGAATAAAAAGTCGCCATCAGGCCCATTGTAGGGGTCATTTGCATAGTAATGAGATCAAACAATGACAGAATCAAAACAAAGCCAATTTCAAAGTCCAATACATTCAACTTTAATATTAAATACGAAACAAGATTTTTGTTGAAACTTTCCTTATTTCTGTTGGATTTAGTTTTGATTTGTCGAGACAAAACACTGAGAAGACGACTCATTATATAATTGTCATGATCGAGTCGTTCCAGGTCATCCTTAGATTTTTTTAATATCAATATTGTATGACTTGATTCTGAATTAATGATTTAGACACAAGATTAAAGTTTTCAAAACAAAGTTAACTTTAAAATTCGTGGTATTGTTTACCTTGTTAGACAGGCGCTCCACTTTAGGGCTGGCATTAGGGCTCTGTGTAGAAGGTGATGGCGATGTCTCTGGAGTCTTGACGATTTGCTCGATGTAATTTAAACGCTGTTTAAGACGTGTGGCGTACGTCTGTAAATCCCGGTTATCACGAGCCAGCACAAAGACAAATACCGTCAGACAAACCGAATATACGGCTATTATTAACACAGAAATGATCACAAATAGTTGGAAGTACTTTGGTATTCGCTTGCTCTCCATTTTGAAGGCAGTTTTAAGATGTTTACAGTGAGAATGAATCACTTCCTTGTACTAGTTGGACTATATATCTAGATGCATCTCAAATCCCTATCCTCGTTCGGCCCTCGCTTCCTATTGTTCATTCTTTGCGGTCATTGCTTTCTTTATTCCAAGAATCTTCATGGTCAGCTGACAGACAGCTGTCAATCAAGTGTAAGTTCCTCATTGACAGTTGACGTCACGAAAACCGGATAGGTTACTTTGGTGATCAGGTCAGGGGGGACGACGCAAAGCAAGCCAGATGTTTGACAAGCGCCTTGGATTATATATTTGCTATATAAATTAAGAATTATTATTAAAGAACAATTTTTGCACTAAACACAGAAACATGGAAAGGCAAAACTATAAACATTCATACAAAATTCAGATGCCTGGGAAACTTAGGAGGAAACTGTGGGGCATGCAAGCGCTATATAATATTGAAAATACCAAATCCTAAGTTTATCCTCGACAGCTCTCAGCCCTAGTAATGAAAAGTTTAATAGGCATCCCTTGTTAGCAGTTCTATTTTCCATTCCTAGTCAGATCTTAATTAATCCCTATCCCATCAAACTCCATAGTTTTCCAACGCACTGATTCAAGCAATGCACGATCACAGCAGTGGTCCCTGTTTTCTTTGATCCCCTGCAAATCAAAGGAAATTTTGTTTAACCCACCGAATCAGGAGCCCTTGACTGAATGCAGTTGACCTTTCACTGAGAATTCAAGAATCCCTTCCCCTTCCCGGCCCGGCTATACGTAAAACGTCGAAGTAAACGATTTCATGTTAAATGGCTTAAGAATTGACGTAACCTGTTGGTCGAAAGATCATGAAGGCTTTCTTTCTAATTGTGATGAAGTCATGACACTGTCGACTGAGCCAATCATTTCTTGTCCTGATTTGAGAGCATGTTTTACGCGCGATAACGCTCTGGCTCATTACAGTTAGCATTTTATACCAAATGATTTTATTTTAGGCAAACTTGTCTTACGGTTAGACAATTTTCATAAGCGATAGATTTTAATTATTTATTTAATATTACAGTGTCTGGGTATTCGTTTCATTCCCTGGTTCGTGTGCAGTTCAAGAGTAAGAMATATCGACCAAGGACGTGATTTAATTCATGGAATCAAGGAATCAATCAAGGTATCAAGGAATAAGAAGGCGAGCGTCAATCAAGATAGAAGTACAGTAATACTTGATCATATCCCGATTCATGAATGACTAAATGGTTCCTTTCCACCCCTTGTGCCATTTTATGTGATTCCGTTACGCCCCAGTTAGTGACAGTTTGCGTCCCTAAACCGCAGACTTGGGCGACACTACACTCTAACTTCGCAATTCCTCTCCTTACCGGACTTGCCTTCAAATAAACGACTATCCAAGTTGACAAGACTTAATAGCGATATTTAATAGCAGGCAGTTTTGTTCCTTGACGTTCATTTCTAGTTATGTACGTTCAGCATGCAAACAGGAACAACGACTGACCTGAATGAATATCTGTCGGTACGTTTTCCGCGAAATTTTCCCTATCAGATAAAAGAATCGTTCTGTCTAGACAAGACTGATATAAGATGTCTTGGTCAGTTATCTTTTGCTCCAAAGGGCAACACTGGACTTTTTACAATAAGCACCCCAATAATAATATCATTAGATTACGCTGAATGATACAGTTTCCGTTCCAAGTTCATCGTTAAAACTTTTACTTCTCTTAAGAAGTAAAAGAGCAAAGCCTGGGAATATAGGAACATAGAAAAAGATGACATACTATTCTTAATTAATTGGAGCATCGAGGGAGTTTATGATTATGTGCGACAAAATCATTGAGCCATTACAAAGAAGAAGGAAAAAACAGCATAGGTAATATTAGTTTTTCAGCAGGTGAAAACATTTTAGCTGGAATTTAAACGAGTTATTAATGAGTAGTTAACTGGTGCTCTACATAGCCCTTACGGCTCACTTCACTGTCATGAAGTTTTACTAAACCCCACTCTTGTTATTGTCTTGTTATTGAAGTTGAGACTGATAATTACATCATCTCTTTGGTACAACATCACTACAAGAAAAGTTTGACGTCAAAGGAAATAAATTTGACCAACATTCCACTGTGTCCGGCGAAGTCCGGAACTATCCAAAATGACGTCCAAGTGTTTGATCAGATCATTGTTTTTAGGGTGGAATTGTCGCTACACAACAACTTTATTGGATCTCCCTGGGAAGGGCTTTTCAGATGCAATTTACAAAATTTACAAAATACTGAGCTAAGTACAAGCTAAGTACAAATACATGTGCTTAAATATATAAATTTTAAATCACTTCTATTATAAAGGAATTCTACATAAAACAATGTGATTGACGATAAATTAAAATCTAATTATTAAGTAATGAGTACAAGCTAGATTTTTGGTTTACTTTCTCGAGACATAGTACTAACATGTTCAAGTGGGTACCAAAAACGAAAGAGTTTTAGCCCTAGTTTCTAAGCATGGTTCACCATACCTCCATGGAAAAGGTAAATGGAAGGGGTCTTCTGGATGCTTTTTACTACTGTAATTGTATTTTACGCCAGGGCTCCCATTGATAGCAGACCTTTTTATTAGTTCTGAATAAAGGTTTCATTCATTCATTCATTCATGATTCATATAAAACTTATATAAAAACACATTTTTTATGATGAGATTAGTACTAAATCAGTACTTAACAGTATTTAAATATTTTAAAAACAACTCCATTTGGGGAGGCGGAGACATAGTGTAGAAGGATCGCATTGAGTCCACCACACCGTTAAGAAAATGGGCAATGTCCAGTTTAATTTGTGCTGGCCTGACTTGACTGACTTTTACTGATCGTTGTTATCATTTGATGTCTCAAAAAACATGAAGTCCTGTAAAAGACGAAAGATGAAAATAAAAATACCCCAATTGAAATTTGCGCCTATATAAATTCAATAAATTATTATTATTATTATTATTAAATAAATTATTAAGAAAAGTTTTAGAAACTTTTTGTGAATGAAAAATCATTATTAGAGACAAAACAGCTCGTGAAAATAGGAGGAATTTTTTTGTGCATGAAAATAAACGGTGATTAATAAGTACAAACTAATGGTAACGTAATAAGAACGAACAAATTGGGAGAAGTAGGGTGTCGGGGAGGGGCGGAAGCCACAGGTATGTTTTATAAGGGAGGGACAGTTGAGCCAATTATTCATAGCTACCAATCACACATTGGAGAAAGGAATGCGTGACTATCAAGTACGTGAAAGAAATAAGCTTACGATAAGAAAACAAGCACCAAGTACAACAGCTTTGATGTTGACGTCAAGATCCATAGGAACTGTGTAGAAAAAAAAGAATATAAGAATAAGTCACTCCCTGTTCTTTTATTGAGATGGAGATGAAGGGACTCATTTGTATTCGGCCTTTACGGACAACGCGTTGGGTTAGGGGATAACACTTTTCTATGGTGTCTTTTTCGATGCCCTGAAAAGTGATAGGGAAACTTAATTGTTGTGTATATTTTCAAATTTCAAGTTTTGTTTCTTGATGCATTAAATGTTAGTTGTCCCTAAGTCACTTTTAAAAATCAACCACACCCTAAATCCATTGTTTGATGTAGGTTCTTAAATAAAGGTTCAAACGCTAGGACGAGGTTTTGCATTAGAATTCAAGACACAGGGCCGCAGGCCCGAGGTCTTGAATTCTAATGCAAAACCGAGCCCGTGCGTTTGAACTGGTTTAAAATATCAATTTAGCCCTAAATTCCATTGTTTCGATGCAAAACACGAAATACTAAATTATAATGAATTCAGAGAGATAGATTACTGTTGCTTTGTTCTTTTGGAAATAGAGTACAATATATCCGCGTTTGCACTCTATTGTTCCGATAGAAATAAAAATAGTATTGTTTTCATACCTTGCGTTCTCTCGGGCAAGTATAAGGAAAAGTAATTAAAAACCTATCCCGGGTTTATAATTCAGCCCCGTTCTCCCCTGTTGATATCAATTCCGCCGCCGGCTTTAAGAATCTGGGTTTTCCGCCGAATATATAGAACTCCGGAAAGGCCAATCTTTCGTCTCCCCAGTCTCCCAAAATAATTTAAGTTCTGAATAACCAATAGATATGTACGTACGGTAATGCGAGTATAATATAGTACAGGGATTGATACAGGCTGTCTCAATGAGTGAATATGGAACCCGGGATGTGGTGTCTGTAATGAAAGGGGGTGCGGTAGTTAAACGGTGATTTTCTTACATGTTATTCCAAAGTTATCAGCATCAGTAAACAGCTCTTTTGCAAGGCCAGACCATTGTTTGGAGATTTTTCCAACTTGGCTGTTCCCATCACTGGACAGTACCTGGGACAATGAGTCATTCAAGTCATTAAACTGACAAAGCTGAAGAGATCGCCTTTATGTAGATATACTTATCTATAACTGCGTATCCGTTATTTTAGTACTGTAGTAGGTTTTGCAGGACTAGGTTTAAGGCCTGATTTTGGCCGAGTAGAGAGATCAAGGTAAAAAATTCTAAAGGATAAACTTGAAAAGAGTTTCTATTCCGGACACCAAGATTACCTGGACGAATGTCTCTTTAAAACCATGAGACAAAATTTATTGTATTTTCAAAAATAGTGCAAATAATACCTCCAATCGCAAAAAAATTGCCCGCGCTGTCATGGGGACTTCATAGCTACGGTCCACTTCCTAAACTGACGAAAACAACAACTATTATTTCTACATTACTAAAGAATAGAATAATACGCTGCCAATTGATGAAGACAAAGAAAGTACTTTTAGAAAAGAATGCGCATTAGCTTGAGAAGCTTTGAGATTATAAAATCAATCTATGTCTTGTTACATAAAACGACTGTGAAGAGACTATTAGGTAAGTTCAAACACACGAGATATCAGAAATGTTATAGTCAACAAAATCCAGGATTGACTGTTATCCTATAATAAAGGTTTATATCTATCTATCGGGAACCGCCGTCAGATCGTTTTAACCCATCCTTTACCCTTGCCTTAAATATCCTTCAATGCTGACTGACCTGAAATTCAACATCTCCACAAAGGCTACATTGACATAGAGGTCCTTCAATCTTTAATACTGTCTCACGATTTGCGTTCTGGATCGCGAACTTTGGGATACAAATTGACCAACTGAAAGAAAACAAACCACTCTTGTAAACATAGAACTCCGCCTGAATACTCGTATTCTCCTGCTGCTGTTTCCCCCGGATTACTGCCCAAAGGAAGAAGGTTACGTGTGCTCAGTGATCCCCTAAAGACACAAAGGTTCGGAAGACCGAACTACGTACAATACCCTATATCAACCAGCTTACTACAACGTAATTTCTATTGATGGTTTTCACGTCGGCCATGTTGGAGGACTTTAACAAAAGAATTGTCAATGAATTCTTTTGTTATATCCTCCAACATGGTCGCTGTGTCTTTTGTTATTTAATTATCTTGGGAATGGTTGAAAACCATCAATTTGAAGAATAAACAAGGACTTGAATCCGAGCTTGTCTCAGAGATGGTGTTTGATCAGCACATCAATTGTTCTACCTTGCTCCGTTGCGGCTTTAGCCGGTAGACCAGCCTACCTCTTAGCCCCAAGAGGAGGAAGAAAAACAACCTTTGCTCGCAGGGTAATAGAATAAAATTTAAAGGAAGACTTTCTTTCTTTCTTTTTTGTTTCGTTTTTCAAGAATTCAATCGTATTTCGAATATTCGCCACCGACGATTGACCCCCAAACTAATTTCCTTCCTTCACCAACAAAAATTTGTAAGTGCAAAAATCAACTTACAGCTGAACACAGTATCCCAACACGTTTCCTGGCGGTCCTTGGACCTCGATCTCTTGCAGACAACAAGGAAAGCAACACGATGAGCATCTGAGTGGCCGGGATAAGTGAATCACTTCACGTTGAGCATTGTCCAGGATTTTCATTTCAAATGGACGTTCTGGTCCACAACACTGCCGAGTACAGCAGTCAGTATCTGCCGTAATAATAACAGACCGAATCAGTAAAAAATATTTGATTGGTTCGCGGATCTATTTGAAAAAAAAAGATTGGGCGGGAAATTACAAGATGCCGAAGTGAATGAACTATAAAATGAACTATGTGAAAACACACTGGTTTGAGTACCCTATGAACAAAAGCATTCATAATAAAAAAGATGGGTTAACAGGTTGATGCTTATCCTGTAAGATTCCCGAGCGCCTTGTTAGCACTTAGTCCAGACGCTGTCTCCTGGGCTCCTTTGACCGCTGCGCTTTTGTTGGGCTGAGCACTATAATCGCAGACGGCAATTTTAAAATACGCGAAAAGGAAATACCGCGTGAAAAAGAATAGAGTTAAGGCATTAGAGTGAAGTCATTAGACCCGTGAAATATATGTTAGACGCATTAGTATACCCAAATACACATTAGAATATGGTCTCAGCAAATCAGCGTAGACCTAATTATATTGTTTTCTTTCGTGTCTATTTGACTTTTATTTCACAGGTTAAATGCCTTCATTTTATGTTATGCTATCTATAAGTACCTTCTTCAGCAAAATAAATCTGTTGTCCCATATTATTCTTTACTTTATACTTATTATTTGTCTCGAAGCCAGTAAACGCTAAGGGAAAAGACAATTGAAGGTCATTTTATATTGTCTTACTTAACAAATAAAGTTATTAAAGCAGCTTAATGAACATCAGAACGAAAGCTCAAATAAAAACATGACACTAGCTTCATATTTAGAATTACCTTCTAAAAGCTCCACTTGTTGGTGCACTAGTATTTGATCGATTTGAGTTAAATATTCTAAGCCTGGAGGACAGTTTTGTGGTTCTTGGGGAGCAGGCATCCATATTTGTCCTTGAGGATATAGATAGTAAAACAAGCGATCGATTACAGTGTAATATGCAGCCTTGTACAGTGCTTTATTTACAACTCTAAACGACTTATTATAAGAATAACTGGAATAAAGATCCAACACTTGAAAATTGAATTTAGAAGACAACCAATTTCTCATAACTCGCTCAGAAACTTCCTGGCTGATTCTCAGTTAATTCAGTGCCGTGGCTGTCCGGCGTTAAGTGATTCGTTTGACTGTGGGTTAACGGTAAACACATAATGATAGCAAAAATAACAAGGTTAATGAACATTTCGAATGACCATTCTGAATCTCTTTTCCCAACATCATCGGTCTTTTCTATACTTGGCATTAGTAGCACCTGTTTTCTTGTCATGATGTAATGAACTCCTGCCCTTAGTAACAAAACAAGCAACTACAAACAAAGCCTAATGATTAATACAGATTTGTACCTGGCTGTTGCTGAACTACTGGAGGTGGATAGCCAACAGGTTGATTACCTAGTTGTGTGGCTGGAGGATAACCAGGCTCTACTTGAGAAGATCGTTGCCAGGTTGCCATCTTTGAAGCAACTCGTTTTGCAGAATCTTTCCACAAGAATACGTAAGTAAACTATTTATAGCAAAGCGGGTTGCTTTGCATGGATAGTCTTAAAGTGTTTTGTGGTGGTTCTTGATTGGTGTAGAACGGGAAGCCATAACGCCAACAACGACATACGTCACGCATGCACTCACACACTCTTGATAATCAAGTGTCCACAATATTAGTATTTTCAACACAAGTTGAATTTATTAAATAAACTCCTTGCAGCACTTTGGAATGCAGCTCCACCGGGAAACAAAAAAAAGTTTCAATTCTTAGAAGATTGGAATTCTTTTGTCTTGTCCCCCAGAACGAGCTACTTTGACGTCACTTTTTTACGACGAAAGGGCTCGTTACCATTTTTCAAAAATGTCTTGCTTAGTGCTTTATTCACCTGAAGATGACTATAACATCATAAGACGTAGATTGTGACCAATCAGGCGCGCCGGAATTTTTATATTCTCTTGTGTATTATCATCTATTCCACAATTCTTGACTACGAAGTACACTTGTAGATTTTACACTTTTGATCCACCTCGATGACTTGATAAATATCTACTAATGCATTACTAATATTGATTCATTTCTATGTAAATATCCGAATATGCAATAAATTTACATTTATCACATTTCTGCATTACATGACCTTGGTAGTTTTTGCTAGCGCTATCATTTTCTATTTAGCGAATCCGAAGTCCCTTTTCTGTGGTCTGTACTCTTATCCAGTATGGAATGGCGTCAGCATGATTCAAACTCAAGTGTAACCACGTGCAGCAGTTTATGGAGCTGTTCGTCTTTTACAAAGGGTTTTTCTTGCGGATAAAAACTTTTATAGCATGAGAATTGCCATTTTCGTTGCTGCGCAAACTTTAAATCCGATTTAAACTTGGTGAGCTGAGCCATGGAACGAGAATCGATAGAAAGATTTCTGATGTTATTATGTTCTGAACATACTATTTGGCATTTAGTCTTTTTAAGTGTCCATTTATTTCTCATGTATGCCCCCTTCCATTACCCTTCCCTTAACTCCGCATCTGAGATGGACACGAACCGGTACTACCATAAGTAAAGTGACAAATGGTTCAGGGACCGGTTGTACGAAGCCTGGATAGCGCTATCCGGCGGATAAATCCTTATCCAGTGGAGAACTCGATGCTGCTTGCCAATAAATTTATCCACCGGATAAGATTTATCCGTCGGATAGCGCTATCCAGGCTTCGTACAACCGGGCCCAGGTCAGGCCAAGGTACTTATAACCCACTCAATCTATCCAATCTGGTAAGTCCATACGGTGCTTCAGCTTCCGCGCATGTGAATACGACAACTTTTGGTATATTGGAATGAATAAGCGTAAATTATATATAACACGGGAAGACGTTAATAAACCAAGCCGGCCGACAACCTAGCCAAAGTGATGATGATTTATAAATATTAGCTTGTGATACGTTCAAGTCTATTTTCTGTAATATTAGCCTCTAGAATTTTTACACAATTTTTTACAAACTTTATGGGGTATTAAACCTTTCAGTTTGCATTATTCTTTTTTATTTCAATTTTGCAGAAGATAATCTCAAAGCATATGTATCAGTTACAAGCGCTCGTATACGCTTTATTCCTTTAGCTTAACCACAATGGCATGCAGTGAGTCCTTGCAAATTAAAGGCAAATATATGTTCTATGTATATTATTATTGATCATAATTTCATTTAAATACCAGTAAAATGGAATCAATTTTGATTACGATAAAGAATGATTCGCCCCATGTAAGGGAATCCGGAATCCAAGAAATTTTAGGCTTTGGAATCCGGAATCCAGCACTCTGGAATCCGGAATCCAGGCCTTGGAATCCTGAATCCAGTTTATAATGGAATCCGGAATCCACCCTTTTGGAATCCGCAATCTGCTACTTTGAAATTCAAAGTATACACTCAAATGCTATCGCCTCGACATAGACTGAACCGATGTAGCCCCTCCCCCACTGTGTAATATCTCCACCAAGAATATCTGATAGACGATTCTACTTATACTGGCAGGTATATCAAATATAATTTTCAGAGAAAGTATCTGAAAATTAACGATATGAAATCCGGAATCCGCAATACAAAAGTTTTGGAATCCGGAATCCAGACCCTTGGAATCCGTAATCCAGAGTCTCGGAATCCGGAATCCAGCGCTTGAAATCCGGAATCCACCATAAGTCCGGATTCTCTTACATGGGGCGAAATGATAAATTTAATGTTACTTGATTTGCAATAAAATGATTTTACATTTCCTGTAAACGAAATATATAACTTTGATTGACAGGCAAGCAAAATCAATCTAATACTATTGAATCATAATATGTACAATTTAAATATTTAAAAAAAAAATCACATCTTGGTTAATATAGATATCTAAAAGGTTTTGAGATGCAAGCATTAGCAATATTAGTCATCATGCTTCTGTGCTTCCTCAAAGAACATAAAATCCTGCAAAGTAAAATATAAAGACAGTAAAGAAAAAGACCCCTGTGCAGAGTGCAAAAAGGTGGGGCCCTAATGTGCATAAATCAAATGCTTACGTAACTGGGGAATTCTTTTGTATCAATTGATTACAAGTGAATTAGTAAACGTGTACAGTTTCAAAGTAATGAGCCAAATATACAGACTTGACTTTCATGCAAACACATAAAGAATTGGAAGAGAGATGGATGTATGGATAGCTGAAAGGACAGATGGACGAAGAGATGGATCGGTGGATGTGCGAATGAATGGATAAATGATTGGGTTGAATGGGATACCTATGCATAGAGGTTGCAAGGGTAGATGAAAATCTACTACCAATAAGTTAAAACTTACAATGAGGAAACTAGCACCAAGTATAACTGCTTTTATCTTCACATCAAGATCCATAGGAACTGAAGTGAAAGAGAAATGCAAACAAATGAGTAAGAAAACCTTACTAAGCAACAATTATTGTTTAGAACAGAAGTGGCCAACACAGGTAGCGCAAAAGTAAACTAGGGAACATAGGTGCAACCCAAAACAGTCCTGATTTGGTAAATGTTGCCGAGTTCCTTGACTAGATACAGATCTAGCCTTAATGAAGTACAAATCATTTTGGAAAGTTAACTGTAGTAACATTCACAAATAAAGATACCAAATGAACAACATAAAATAACAATAATGTGAAACTTGAATCTTTTTTTTTGTTGAAAATCCAAACTTTCAATGATCTATTTTATGAATAGAAAACATATAATTTGAGGCTATCAGAAACATCAGCATCTTATGAGAATTATATTTTTTGCTATTTATCAACCAAACCAGTGACTACATCTAGATGGTAATCTGATCTATTTTATATATTTTTCAAAGAACGAATGTATTTCCTTGATGAAGCAGATGATGCAATATGTTGCTTTAGTTTTTGGCGATTATTTTCTTACATGTTATTCCAAAGTTATCAGCATCAGTAAACATCTCTTTTGCAAGGCCAGACCATTGTTTGGAGACTTTACCTACTTGATTTTGACCATCAGCAGACAAGACCTGAATAAATAAAACCATCACAACAAGATAATGACCAGACATTCCAATGGGATAGTTTGAGGGGATTCCCAGGCACATCAAAAGGAAAGTTCCAAATCATTCCCTGGCATCTCCATAGGACAGTTTGAGGGGATTCCCACGCATCCTTGAATGGTTTGAGAGGATTCCCAGGCATACCAAAAAAGGTTTGAAGGGATCCCCAGGCATAGCAAAAAAGGTTTGAGGGGATTCCCAGACATACCAAAAAAGGTTTGAGGGGATTCCCAGGCATACCAAAAAAGGTATGAGGGGAACGCCGGCCAGGCATATCAAAAAAGGTTTGAGGGGATTTCTAGGCATATCAAAAAAGGTATGAGGGGAATCCCAGGCATATCAAAAAAGGTTTGAGGGGATTTCTAGGCATACCAAAAAAGATTTGAGGGGATTCCCAGGCATACCAACAAAGGTTTGAGGGGATTCATGGGAATACCAAAGGGAGAGTTTGAAGGGATTCGAAGGCATACCAAAAGGAGTGATTGAGGATTCTCACACATTTCCAGAGGAGATGTAATGAGTTCCAAATTTTACAGCATGACCACCCCCAAAAGTAAGACCACCAATGTACTGTATTTGCTGTAATAAAGGAGGTTTTGTCCACTTTTGTCCAAGTCTTTTATTTCACTCACATACATGAAAGATGCTCCTTAAATAAACATTGTTCACACACTCTGCTCTCTCACTTGCAATGCCTTGTGCATACTTCTGTCTTAATGGCCTTCATCCAATCAGCATTGCTGGATTATATCTTATAAGGTATGCAAATACAATATCAATGGCCAAATTTTCTAGCTTTTAATTCCTGAAGAGATAAATCCTCCAACCATTGTAAATTAGTAGGAGGTCATGTAACAAAAAATATTACTGACCTGAAATTCAACATCACCACAAAGATTACATTGACACAGAGGTCCTTCAATCAGTAAAACTGTCTCACGATTTGCATTCTGGATGGCAAACTTTGGGATACAAATTGACCAACTGAAAAGATAAATCACCAAGGTTAACACAATCATACATTGAAATAAGAGCCATAATCACTAACAAGACACGTCCCTCCTCTTCTTAAATCAAGCAGTTGTGAAAATAATAATAATAATAATAATAATCATAATAATAATAATAATAATGCGGTTCTTATATAGGGCATTTCACATGGTCTCAATGCGCTTTACAATTATGACCAGTGGAGGATTTGAAGGGCTGCATATTAAGGTGCTATTGGCAGCCTTGCAGCTTACAATCATGAGTATAAATTGTTAGTAGATTAGTATTATGCCTCCAAATTAGGATAGGCTGTTGAACCGGGCAACAATCCCCTACTCTTATACGAATAATTCAACAGGTTCTTTTATGTCCGGGCCAAAAAAATTAACATTAGAAATGAAAAGAGCAAAGGGTTTTCATTAAGGGTCGGAAATTGGAGAATCCTCTTGCAGCTGAGCAAAATTCTCCGCCTTAAACTTAACCATGGCTCTCTCCTCTTCTCCTATTATTTCAAAACTCAATAAAAAAAACCTGTGAGAACCTAAATATCAGTAAGAATGAAAAGTTTTAGTTCATATTATGTGACCAATGAGAAATGATGTTAAATGTAAAATTAAATACTTTATAAGGATTTGAGAAGAGAAAAAGCATTACATGGCCAGATGGTATTGGTAGTGGTATTACTAACACTACCATCATCTAACCCCCCCCCCCGATCCAACCATGGTTCTATTATGACTACCAGTACTTACAGCTGAGCACAGTATCCCACAATGGTCCCTGGAGGGGACTGAACCTCAATTTCTTGTAAACAACAAGGAAACCAGCAAGAAGAGCAGCGTAGTGGTCGGGTCAAATGAATCACCTCTCGCTGGTAATTGTCCAGGATTTTCATATCAAATGGACGTCCTGGTCCACAGCACTGCCGAGTGCAACAGTCAGTATCTGTCCAAAGAATATTGACATTATATTACAGTTTAATTTGATCTCCGTAATTTAACAAAAAACATTTGATTATATGAGAAAGAAACTATGCTCCAATTCAGTGAAGATATAAGAGGCAATGTCTGTAAAAATCAAACATCTGGCGGCCACATTGAAAAAATAGATTTTGTTCATATTTGGTGCAAAGATGTGGAATACCACCCAAATAAACATACTGATGTTCATTTTGAATAATTTCGCTCTCATCTTGAGAAAATCGTGAAAATCGATTTGGCTGTCAGCACCCTCAATTCAGCCTAAATCCGAGGTGCAAATGGTAGGTCTGAGAAAGGCACTCGCGTATTAAAATGAAGCAAACTAGAGAAAATCTGTCTTTGGAAATGGTAAATTTACAAACTACATTTTTCAGGTTCTCAGATATTTAAATTTTACCCTTAGTTTGCAAAGTGCATTTTCATATGCACTGGGTGTTCGGATTTATCTGAAATTCCAGCCATGATATCTTTAAATGTTAAGCTAAATCATATATGAAATTCAGCTTTAGTTATTTAATGAGCCCTTTATACAAAACTCTCGAATTCAGAGAAATTTGGTGTGTTTGGGCTCGGCATCCTATGAAACCTGTTTAAGGCAGACATAGCTATATCCTTAATACATTTTCTTGGTATTTGTTTTGATATTATTATTTGTTGATTGAATATTGAGTGCAATAAATTGTATTATTTTGCTCTTTATAATTTGAAACAAGCATGTAAACACGCGCATCGGCACGATCTATATGATACTTTACAAGCCCATATAACTTCAGAGTTCTAAAAAGAGTTACATTTAGTCCAGCTTTAGGACATTTAGACTAAAAAACACAGGGAGATYCAAACTAAAAGATAATATGCTTGATTACTGTTCATACCTAGTATTGAATTTCAGTTTCAAATTGTAATTATAAAYGACACGGATGTAATTTTTTTAACGTGGCTGCCGGATATTTGAAAAATAAAAGTGAAATTGTTCAAAATGAACATCAGTACGATTTTCGAATTTTTTTGATTTTTACAGACATTGCCTCAATAATTATTCGACGTAATTGCATTAATTTATGCAAAGTCACTAAAGCCATTCTTTAAAACAAATTAAATATATTTATTTTTTCTGGTCCGGTGTCGTAACAATTGTGCATTTTGATTGGCTGTGAGAGTGGGTAMTGGTATTTTCTATCTCTTTTAAATAAAAGTTTATGAAAAATATTCTACTTTTGAGATTGATTTTTGGTCTCCCATTAGAAATAGCTTTTTTAATTCACCAACGAACCTTTCAATAAAATATTCCTTATATATATAGTAGAGGTTAATTATAGAGCATTAAAAAGAACATTCACAAGCTGGAGTCCACACTGAAGGGTTCCAACAGCATATTAGCCATCAATCAAATCTTTTCATTGGCGATGGGCTTGTCATATAATAAGCAGACCCAATAACTAATCATAAATCCACTAGTGTGGGTAAATAAATAGAGATGACGGCTATACACATCAAGGTATTTTTCATGAAAACTCATGAAAAACTAGGGTTTGCATTCGATCTTAATTTTTGTTTATTCTAGATCCCATCAAACCACCAAATAAACTTAAAACATTTGATCAAAAATAGACAAAGAAAGGCCACGAAAGTATATTAAGATATAAGTTCAGAGAATAAATAGATTAAAAGTGAGGAAATTTGAAATRCTGAAAGGATGCATGACAATACATGTACAGCTCCAATAAATCATCAACCTTGATAGCACTACTGGCTGAAAACCTGTGAAAATCCTGTGAAATTTCTAAAATACAGAGATATTTTTCACAGGTTTTTCACAGGATTTTCACAGGTTCTCAGCCAGTAGTGCAGTATGAATAAGTCCATTTTCAATATTTCTGCTATGGAATTTAAATAAAATTCATTGACTGATAAGGATAATCTACATTRAATTTTACAAGATAACCAATGTCACCCAAGAGAAGCATGATATCAGTTTTTCAAGTTTAATTCTGTGGAATTTCCTTGTCCTACAATGAATATTTCTGTAGAATTTCATTGAATCAACAGCTGCCTACAGCTTATTTGAAAAGGTCAGATYATTAATACAAAGTCTATACAAATTGAACTTGTTCATCACTACAARAAATGTCACAACCTATAATATGTGAAAATCTGGTATTTATCTTTAGAAATGATTTTTTTTAACACCAGAATATTTAAAATGAAAAAATGGGTTAAGGTCTTGAGCCCATACATATGACAAGAACAATATTTTGTTTAATTTTACCTGTATTTTATAGAATTTGATTTTTGAACATTAGAATATGTACCTATATATATTTAAATAGGTGTTAATTAACACATCATTTTGACATTTTATTTACAGCTCTAAGATTTGATTAAAATATGAAGCTTGCTCACGGTCATTGATTACCCAATTATTGGGTACAAGACATAGTGAAATAAAAAAGAAAAAATTGATGAGAAGAAAAAACCTTTTTTTAGAATTCAAAATATATGTTATAAAGTGAAAATAAAAAGAYATTAAAATAATGGACAAGATAAAGAAATAACATCAAGATAAATAAAGTAGAAATAACATAAATATGAAAGGAAAATTATAAAATATTTGAAATATAACCCACCCTGATTGGCTTACTAGCAGAAACTTTTTTTACAACTACCACTCCCATTACAGGGCTCTTCCGTGATGYGCCCTAGCTCCATGGCCATACACACTACAATTACACTCTATATTTACAACATATAACACTCAACTCACATGTTGATTTTTACGGAGGGAGGAAATCATAGAACTTGGAAAAACCCTTCTGGCAAGGGAGAGAACAACACAACAAACAAACTCAACTCACATCTGATCCTAATCTGAGCCGGTGCTTGAACCCGGACACAGCTGTGAGGGGCAAGCGTAAACCACGACGCCAGCCAAGAACTTTTTTGAACAATAGTCCATGTTTATATCAGTAGACACAGACACGCTCACAAAAAAAAATCATTCAAAAAAGTTTTATGAATAATTCAAACAGCTGTTTATGTCTCTGTACTGTGAGCTTACAGTCAAACCACCTCAAGCGTGAACACGAAGAGGTCTTTAATGACTTTATTTTTGAATTCATTATTCAACATTCATGATATTGAAAACGAATCTTCAATATCCAAAAAATAATAATTTGAAAATTCGATTAACTTGGCTCATATTATAGGCTCTTGTTTATAGCAGAAGCAGAAGGCAAGTCATTAATATTACATTATTCCTTGCACAAGAAGTTGCTCTTGCATTTCAGCTGCATATATGCTAGGCTTTTGTATATGCTAGGCTTTGAAGATTTGTTTTCAATAATGAATGTTCAAATCGAATAATGAAATCAAGAATCCAAAAATAAATTCATTAATGACTTATATGTGGTAACGCTTGAGGTGGTTTGACTGTAATATATTTACATACACATAAAYGATCTGGGATCTTTAGAGGACTCAAAAAGCAAGAGCCCCAAAACACTTGGGTATTCCTTGTGTTCCTAAGCTTGCTTCTATCTCTTWCTCTACAGATCCCAGTGCGTATATCACATTACAGACATGTATGCGTGTATGGATATATTTCTTWAAAAACTCATTAATAATTCATGAAGGAAACACAATCATGACCGTGAAGGAGGTTTTATATCTGATATAGATTCGTCTTCATTTGCATAAACTTTAACTTGGATTTTCTCTATCAAGCTTGGTTCATTTCGTAAAGAATTCGGTACAGTATGAGAACATACATCAKGAGTTTTTTAAGCCGTTTAATAAACTYGCAGATCGTGTTTTATCGGGTCTAAAACCACTCGGCTACRCCTCGTGTTTTATACCCGATAGAAGAATCCTGCTCGTTTATTAAACAGTACTTAAATGTAAATGGATAAAGTAATCTACACRAGCTATGCCCTCGAAACATAAGTAACATAAATTCTGAAATAAAAGATAAAATCAAAAAATAAGAGATGGTGAAAATTTACACATAATTATAGCCATCAGACTCATGRAATATTGTGCACATTAGAGTTTAGCTCATGAATACTAAACCCTTCACCATGGAAACCACAACCAAACAAGATAAAACAGGTCACTGAATATTTGTTCTTGCAAATTAAAAAATACCGACTTTGACAGGGATATTATAGATTAAAGTTGAAGTATGCCTAACATATATTTGTTCAAAAACTAAACCCAAAATATATGTCAAAACTTACATGAGCTAATTATCTAAAACAGATCTAGAATAACATACAGATAATCATATAAGTAACTTCAGGCATATTTATATAAGTCTTAATAGAGCTAACATATTAAATAAGTCAAAGCCACTTACTTTATTGGACACAAAACCCTTAAAATTTACTAAAAACGAACATGACTACACTCAAACTTAAGAATAAAAAAATGTGTGGAAAAAGAAATGAAGAAAATGATGAACTTTTTGACAAGCTTCTATCAGACSTCCACCCTTAATTTATTAAATATTCTGATAATTTAGTCAGACGTTTATTTTTGTAAGGTTTTACTTACCTTCTGCGGCAAAATATATTTGCTGTCCCATATTATTTTTTACTTCGTACTTGTTATTTGTCTCGAAACCAGTAAAAGCTGGGGGGAAAAACCATAAACGAATAAAAGTTATCAAAAGCTATTAAGCCTCTAGTTAAGCAAATATTTTAATAAATGCAAGACTCAGATAAGGCGCAAATACAATAACGTAAGAAACAATTCGCTTCGAATTCCCCGGCTTTCATACCTTCTAGGAGTTCCACTTGTTGGTGAATTAGAAGTTGGTCGATTTGGGTCAAATATTCTAGTCCTGGTGGGCAGTTTGCCGGTACTTGTGGTGCTGGCATCCATGTTATCTGTCCTTGAGGGGCTGAATTAAACATTAAACGAAGAAGAAATTTTAGATAACCTCCGAGTGGTTGATTTTAGAATACGATCTTGAATACATTGCTCCGAAAATTCGATTCTAAAAAACGATTAGTAAACGATTCTAGATTGATCGAAGATCAGATTTTTATTAACGATGTCAAAGTGTTTAAACTTTTCTAATCTCCGCTTGAACAGTGTCGCGTTTCCTAAAACAAAACATAAGCTATATATGAATGACAACAATTTTTGAGTTCATAGTTTGCGACCTTGCGTCATCAGGTCTACTGTAACTGATTTACAGTCTAAAACATATTAAGAAAAATCATGAACGTAAACTTCCACAGAGAAGAAAAATATGATTGTTTCAATGCACTTGTAATTTTTCCGGTTCCCGCCGAAACGACAAGAGGTTGTATCCATAACATAAGTTTATRCAATAGGCTTAATATAGCAAAAGAAAAAAATGCAGTACGAAAAAACCTCAGGAAAAAAAGTCTATTAAGCTTTTACTTGTAGATTTATTAAGCTTATTTAAGTCTAGGATTKATTTTTTTCTTCTGTGATTTAGATTATTTACCGGTCGTATAACCAGGTTGTTGTGCGACTGGTGCATAACCGGGTTGTGTAGCGGCTGCATATCCTGGTTGAGTTGGAGGGTATTGACCAGCGGGAGGAGGGTAGCCAGGTTGTTGACCTCCGTAGCCTTGTTGATGTGCCTGGTTATTGTATTCTACTGGAGGAGGATAGCCATAACCTTGTTGAGCCATGATTGACACTATCGTTTCCCGCTCGTCTAGATGCTACTAAGAAATAATCGGTTGTTTTGATTGAAGGAAGAGGGAGACTAGGACTACCTCGGTTGTTACCTGCCCCCACCCCTCTCAGTAGTGACCACCAATTTATCAGAAAAAAAAGAAAAATGTCCTCTTTCAATTTACAAAACAAAAAGTCAAGTTAAAAAAAACTATTGCAATTTACTGTGGCATTTAAAAAACTCTGAAATGCTTATTTCAAGGAAGGGGTACCTCTGGTGTGGAGCACAGTTTAGTGTTGCTTGCAACTTGGCATGTGAGAAAGATTCTCCCCCCTCACCCCACCCTTACATATGCTCACATGGGTGGATGTAGTGGGGGCCGATGGTGCTACAGCTCCCCTTTTAGCTTGCTGGAAGCCTGGTTTGTGATGCATTTTTTACCTCTTTTTTTGTTTTGTTTTTTTGTTGTTTCTTTTGTCCAAAATATCCCTAATTTAAATTTGGATAGATTAGAGTGCTTGCACTAGAGTGACCACAGTAAATCCGTGAAACTTAGTAATACTAAATAGTACGATTTTATGAAAATTCGATTGTTTTCTATTGTTTAATTAGCACTATTTTGTACTATTTAGTAATTAGTGTTTCACAGATTAATTGTTTGCACTCTAAACCCGTGATTTCAACTAATACTAATTTTTAGTACTAAATAGTAATAACTAACTAAACAATAGAAAACAAAGGATTCTATATGAAACAGTACCAATTAGCACTAATGGGTTTAGGGCTTAGTGCGGGTTTGGTGCGTGCACTCTACTTGTTTGGACTACATTTTACACATAAATTTTTGAAGTAATTTATAATATATCAAGGAATAAATGCATTACAGAATAGTGTCATTTTATGTAGACTTACGTGAAGTAGTAAGGGCTATTTTGTATGAAATGGCAGATATTACTGAAGCAGAACATTGGAAACAAAAGGAATAATCCTACCTTTGTGTCTCTGTAGCTTCATACTTGAGTGAATTTTGACAACTAAATAGTTAATAACTAAATATAACATACGCCTATTTGCAAGAACATTGTCATACGATATTCATTAGTGATTTAGTGAGAAAGGAATATATTAAAAGACAAAAGAAAAAGTTCAGCTTCAGTGATCTTCTTTAGTTTTATAATTCCTATCCCACTTAATCTCTAATGTTTTATTTTGGTATGACAACGTTCTTGCAAGTAGGTGTAACTCTTTAGAGCTAGTAATAGTTTAACCAATATAATATTATGGTGTGCACTATATTAAAATGCAGAAAATAGCAGATCAAAAAAATTTAAAATAAAAAAAAGAATTTACTTGAAAGCATATGCCCCCACCCTTGCGATATGGTAAAATTTATCTAATTCCAAATTTTGTGTGCCTCCTCTCCCCTTCCTTCCCCCTTTTAGATTTCTAGAACCGCCCCTGGAAGTGAAATAATGTAATGAAAATGAAATATGACTATCTTAATGAGAAATTTAAAATATTGAGTTTGACAAAGATGCAAAGGATATTAAGTCTTTACCTTTATAAAATAGTTTTTTTTCTTGTACAATAACAATATTATTTTATAGCTGAGCAAAAAGTCAGAAACAACATTTTGTTGAAACAATGACAACTTTGTAACTTTTGTTCTACTTAAAAATAGTCATTGTCGTGTTTTTAAAAATAAAATATTTAAAATATTGCACGAACTTTTGCAATAGCAAAGTTTGACTTTGTAATAGTATTTTTCCATTCCTTTTTATATGGAAATGTTTTTTCATCACTGGAGTCACTTTAGATCTCCTCAGCTTGGGAGTAATGTTTTCCCATTTCAGACTATGTGTTGTCTTTGTTTAAGGGTTGCGCTTGGTTGCACGAGAGAAGACACATGAATATGGATCACTTCAAACGAAGAATCTTGTTCTCCAGGGAATAATGTATGGTCGCCTCAAATGGGAAAATATCACGCTCGAGCCGAGGAGGTCTATTGCAAAACATTACTGAACCTTTATATGATGTTAATGAGAGCCTCAAACTTTATTTTCCAAAACCAACAATAAACCATTCCCAGGATTTTAAAAACGATAGAAGATGGGGAGAAAAGGAAAAAAAGAAAACGAAAGAACAAAAGAAAGGAAGGAAGGAATGAAGGAAGGAAGGAAGGAAGGAA